CCTCCCCGGAAGGGCGGATGCCCCATAGCCCCTCTCCTCACAGATCCCTAGCACCCTTTCCCAGTGGAGAGCCCCTCCTGGATGTTGGGACAGCCCACCGCAGGCTAGCCCCTCCCCATCACCACCCTGGCGGCCCCCCAGCCCTGCTCCTCCCCCTCCCTCCGAGACAGGACACCTCCCGGTTGCCCCGCTCTGGCCTCCCTACTCCTAAGAACCTGGCGCCCCTACTGTGACTTCTCTAAACCACACCCACCCCTGGCCCGAAAGTATTGTTCCAGTACTTTCCCTGAAGACCCCCAAACCTCCCATCACCAGATGACCACCAGCTTCCTTCATCCTGCCCCTCCCACGCTGTAGCACCCCTAACCCTGAGCACCAGCTGTTGTCCCCATGGCCTGTCTAGGGGTCACCCACGACGGCCACCACTCCAGACAGCCGGAGCTGGAGACAGCCTGGAGACCCACAGCTAGCTTGTCGTACTGGGTTACCCTAACCCAGCTGTGCAAACTCAGGAAACACACACACACACACACACACACACACACACACACACACACACACACACACACACACACACACACACACACACACCCTTCTGGGGCCATGCCCTGTCAACCCTTTATTACAGTGAGAGTAGGCCCAGCTCCTGCTGGAACGACCTAGAATCAGACTTTTCTGTCTGATGGGGCTTTCAGGCCCTTCTTACTTGATTTTGGAACCTCCTCAGCCTCATTTGCCTGGTCTGCAGGCCTCTTCAAGACCTGCCATGGGACCCCTCCCGGCCAGAGGCCTCTCCTAACCAACTCCAGGCAGATGAATCAGCCTCATGCTGCAGAGGGAATGATGTCACTCTGACCCATGCAGTATAGCTGGTAGGATTAGGTCTACAACTCCCTCCCCAAGGAAGGAATAGGGTCTTAGTCATCTGGAACAGGGTTTTGGAGTTCTATCAACCCAGACTAAAATCCTAGCCTCCTCAATCCCCAGCAGTTAGATCTTGGTCTCCTTGAACCATGATGTCAATGTCTTGAAATTAGAGTCTGGTAATTTCTAGCACCTGAGAGGTAGAAGCAGGCGTTCAATGCCTGCCTGGACTACATGAGACCTTGATTCAAGCAAAACAACAGAGCCAGGCACAGTGGCTCACATTGTAATCCTAGAACTGGGGGATGCAGATACAGGAAGATTAGCCCAAGTTTGAGGACACCCTGGGTTACATAGTAATAGTCCAGTCTGCATTATAATGTGAGATGATCTCAAAAATAAATAGGGCTCCTGGGTGTAGTGTCACACATCTTTGATCCCGGCACTTGGGAGGGAGAGGCAGGTGGATCTCTGTGAGACTGAGGCCAGCCTGGTCTACATAGTGAGTTCCAGACAAGCCAGGACTATAGTAAGACACTGTCTCAAAAACCCAAAAATAAATAAATAGGGCTGGCAAGATGGTTCATCAGTTCAAGGCACTTGCTGCCAAGCCTGATGACCTAAATTCAATCTCCAGAACCCCACAAGATAAGAGAATGACCCTCACAAGTTGTCCCCTGTACTTAACACAGATGCTTAGGCACACATGCACCCACACATGTTTAAAAAAAAAAAAAGCCGGGCGTGGTGGCCCACGCCTGTAGTCCCAGCACTCAGGAGGCAGAGGCAGGCAGATCTCTGTGAGTTCAAGGCCAGCCTAATGTACATAGTGAGTTCCAGGA